ACACAATTCATTCATTGGTTAATCAGTAAAAATAGGGTAATGTAATCGAATATGCTATAGAGAAAAAATAAGCATGCATGTAATTTTAACTTTTATGTAGAATATAAACAGTGAATAGACTATGAAAATTTACCAAATTTATGCAATTTAGATACAGTTGTTTCTACTCATGAGGGAAAAAGAAAACAAAAAACAAACAAACAAAAAAACTTGTGGGTGGTTAGCAAAACACAGCATTCCCTGCTGGTTGAGGGTGCTAACAGATGCTTGGATGAAATGTATACTTTAAGTTTAATTACCTAGATAATTGCCATAACTGTTTAGTTGCTTTTCCTATTTAGATCTGTCCCTACAGATAATGTGCAATTAATGAGAATTAGCACTGCCAAATTATTGGGAACGTGAGTTCTAAAAGTGGGACGCCGTATGGCCCAGATATACTGTGTATGCATTCAACCAGTAATTATCTCTCTGTAACAAACTCTGATAGAGACTACAGCATCGTTCCTTCAGGGCATTTCCAGGAGAGGCCTTTGAACTTAGGGATTGAGAGGAATATTTCTAGTGGAAGTGACCTGGGATGACTTCCTGCGAAAAGTGGGACTAAATCTACTTTTAAAACTTTTACCTAACAGTAAAATGTACTCTTTGGTGTATAGTGCTATGAGTTTTGATAAATTCATAGAGTCATACACCACCATCACATTCAAGGTACAGGACATTTCCATCAGTGACAAAGACTGCCTTGTGCTGTCCCCTTATTTTCAACCCCACTACCCACTCCCACTCTCTGGCAACCACTGTCTCTAGTTTTTTCTTTTCCAGATCATTATATAAACGGAATCATACAGTATGTACAGCCTTTTAAATATGGCTTTTTTCATTCAGCTTCAAACATTCCAAATTCATGCATTTTGTTGCTTATATCAATGGAATGTTATTGATGACTACCGCAGTTCGTTTAACCACTCACCAGTTTGAGGACATATGGTCTGTTCACAGTTTTTGATATCTATCTATGAATAAAGCCAACATAAATATTTGCATGTAGGTTTTTATGTGAACATAAGTTTTCATTTCTCTTGGATAAATATCTAGCAGTGAAATCGCTGGGTCATACTGTAAGTGTATGTTTAACTTTATATGAAACTGCCAGACTGGTTTCCAAAGTGACTGTACATTTTGCAATCCTGTCAACACTTAGCAGAGTTCCTTTGCTCTCCTGCATCATCAAGTTTTTTTGTTGTTTGGTTTTTATTTTCTCACTACTAATTTGTGTTTTTAATTTTGATTTCTCAAATGACACATGATGTTGATGGCCTCTGCCATTTAATTGAGGGTATAAAAATTAGTTAGTTTAATGTTATTATTAATATGGTTGAGTTAAAATCTTATTATTATCATCTTATTATTTTCTTTTCTATTTGTCCCATCTGTTCTTTGTTCCCAGTTTTGTCGTTGTCTGCCTTCTCTTGGATGAATTGAGTAGTTTTAGGATTATGTTTTATTTCCTTTCTGGGTTTATTATTATTGTTATTAACTCTTTCATTATTTTGGTGGTTTCTTTGGGGTTCATATTATAATGCTTAATTTATCAGAGTCTACCTCCAAGTGAATTTTATCACTTCACATTTAACATGAGAACCTGAGAGTAGTATAATTCCATTTCTCCCATCCTGGCTTTTGTGCTGTTGTTGGCAGACATATTGCTTGGATATCTGCTAAAAATTCCATAATACAGTATATCATTTTTGTTTAAAGGGTCAATCTATTAAGGAGATATCAATAATTAGGAAAAGTCTTATGTATTTATATATTCACATAGTTACCATTTCTGATATGCTTCTGTTATGCAGATGCATATTTTTATCTGGTGTAATTTACCTTTGGACTAAAAGAGTTCCTTTAAGGTTTATTGTTGGTTTGGTTTGGTTTGGTAGTCTGGGTTTGCTGGTGTGAATTCTTTCAACTTTTATGTGTCTGAAAAATTCTTTGTGATGCCTTGATTTTGAAAAGTAGTTTCTCTGGGTATAGACTTCTAGTTTGACAGGTTTTTTTTTTTTTTTTTATTTCAGTTAGTTAAAGATGTTGCTGGACTGTGTTCTACTATGCATTGATCCTAATGAGAAATCTATTGCTATCCTTCCTTTGTTCTTGTAAATATAATATGTCTTCCCCACCCCCACCCCCCCGACTGGCTGGTTTTATTATCACCTTACCATTGATTTTAAGCAGTTTAATTATGATGTGACTTACTTGTAATTTTCTTCATACCTCTTGTGTTTGGTATTTGTTAACCTTTTTTGGACCCATAGTTTTATTGATTTCATCAAATTTCATCTAAAATCAAAACTAGTTTTTAAAATACAATTTTTCCATGTCCCCCTCTCTCCTGTGCCTTTGGGGACACTAATTTCAAGTTCATTAGGCTGCTTGAAGTTATCCCACAGCTCACTGATGCTCTGTTAATTTTTATATTTAATTTTCTCTATGTATTTTATTTTGAATACTTTTGTTGTTATGTCTTTGAGTTCCTATTCTTTTATTCAGCAATGTTTAATCTGATATTAATCCCATCCAGGGTATTTTTGATCCCAGATATTGTAGTTTTCACCTCTGCAAGTTTGACTAGCATCTTTTTGTGTCTCTCATGCCTCTATTTACTATTTGAACATATGAAATAAAATTATAATAACTCCTTTAATGTCCCCTGCTGATTCTCACATCTGTGCTTTGTTCTGGGTTGGTTCCAATTGGTGACCCTCATATGGGTTCATTTTCCTGCTTCGTTGCATGTTTGGTAATTCTTGATTAGATGATAGATGTTTGTGTATTTTATTATGTTGGGTGCTCTATATTTTTATATTTCTATAAATATTCTTCAGGTTTATTCTGAAGATGCACTTAAGCTCTTATAAACAGGTTGTTTTTTTTTCGGGTCCTGTTTTCAAGATTTATTAGGCAGTCCTGGAGTAGTTTAGGGTTAATTACTCCCACTACTGAGGCAAGAACCTTCATATGCCTTCCCCAGTGACCTGTGAAATACTGGCTTTTCCCATCTGGCAGGTGGGAACAGGCACCTGAATTAATGCTGAGAACCTTAAGTAACTTTTAAAAACAGTATGATAGGCTTGGATGTGGTGGTTTATTGTACAAAGGCCCTAGGGAGCTTTTTAAAATAAGGAAGTATGTGTATTTTTTGTAATTTGGAATAATACATGGATTTAAGTTTTTAAAAAATGAACTATGTTTGAATTTTAGAGTTTTCTATTACTAGATTTCTTCTGTTATTTTATATAATCAAAGTAATGTATTTATTTCACTAATCTGTGGTAAGTAAAGCATTTGAAATGCAATATTTAGTGTTCTTTTTAAAACTACACAAGTAAACATATAATAATCTCCCCATGGTAGTTCAATATATAACACAAGTTTTCTTCTAAATTATAGTTTTTAAAAAATTTTATAGGTTGGGGAGTAGGAACTAATAACATAGAATAAATGATGTCAAAATTAGAGTCCTGGCAGAGGAAGTAGACAGGCTTTTCACAATGTAAAAACAAAGAAAATTAGTTTTTCTCATACATTTTGATGAAAATTAACTTTTGGTAGGTATTATAAACCTGCCGCAGCTGACTTGTAATGCTTGCAAAGATTTGTAAAATGTAGAATATTTAATTCAAAAATATGCATTTATTATATTACTGATTGAACATACTGTGATATTTTATTGTAGAAAACAAGTAAAACCACACTTGTCTTTATATTATAAATATGTGAATAGAATAATTACTTAATGGTTGAGGTAATTTGCCTATTAATAAGTCTAATGACACACTTGTTCTACTATGACAACTTAGAAATGAGGTAGATCAGGGAGGTCCAGGACAGTGAAGGCACATTCAATGGATAAGTGGTATAGCGGCATAGGTAAAGAATTGACACAAGTATATATACATTTGTTTGGAGAAGTGGTAAAGTCATTCCTACACCTATTTCTTAATAATGAAGGAAGGTTGATGATCTCTGATAATGTGACAAAAAACTACTTTTGCTAACACCTAAAATTCTTATGATTGAAGTATTATCATTTTATATTCACTGTTATAGCATTAAAATTAAAATTCCAAGGTGCCTTTATTAATTCAAATAGAAGATACTCTAGTATTCTGTTTCAGTTTTTATAATTAAAAATGAATATGTCTATATTTTATTATTTTAATCAAATTTGCAGGCATAGAAAATTGATTTTTCTAAAAATGAATAACTTGACTAAAAATGCTGTTGAATATTTTAAAAACTTGTTCAGTGGTGTCTCAAGCAAGCTAGAAGGAGATTGGGAGCAATGTATATCTTGAATTAGAGCAATGCATCTTTTCTTTAGCTCCTTTCCTAAACTTTAACCTATCTTTTCTTATCCTCCTTGATTACCTGTTTTGAAAGTTTTTAAGACATTAATGGGAGATAAAAACTAGACAAGATGCTCGATTCACCACAGTGATTTGAATTTTCAGAAATATTCAAATGCTAAATACACAGTCTCTCCAAGACACAGAATTCTTTAGTGATTATTACTTCCACTTTAGCAGGTGGAAAAAAGGAATGATTACATTATTTTGACAGAATTTGTCTATGCAGTTAAGCTCCATTCTTTCATGGTGGCTCTCCCAGTAGAAAAAGTGGCCCAGCCACTAAGAGTTGAGTTCAGGCTTCAGCTATTTCAGTATCCAAAAATATTTCCCATATAAAGTTAGTATCCCAAAGACGCATCAAGGAGAGAAGAATTTGAAACACAGTTTTTTTCTTTCTCATAAATATTGTGTCTACTTCATCCCTGTGTAGCCAAGTGAGATGGAATGGAAAGAATGCTATAGGTTTGTCCCTGCATTTGGAAAACTAATTAATTACAGGCATTGAATATTCTAATGTTTATGAGAAAAAAATAAACTTTGCTGCTTTTTATTAATAATTAATTCTCTCTCTCCCTTGCTTTTTCACAGACCACCACTTTGCATATATAATTTTGTTCTTAAAGGAAATGAGGAATTATTTCTCAATCCAAGCACATGCACATCAGGATTTGGTTTGTGATTAAAGAACTTGTAAATGGGGACAATGTAATCAGCATTTCTTTATGAAGGCATTGTTCAATCTGGGATTCACATATTTCTACTTCCTGAATAAATTTAAAAATAAAAAATATAGAAAAATGTTAAAATGCATATAGTAAAGCATTCTGAATATATTCTAAAAGCTATTTATCTCTGTTTACCTCAATCAAATGTTTATCATTAAATGTTTCCCTTAATTACTTAATAGATAATATATCTTTAGAAAAAAGAGAAGCCTATTGTTTCAATACACTGTCTAAACTATCATTTTCTACTTGTCAAACTGCAGTCATAAAAGAAGTATTTTTAATTGTAAATTTGTCACTTGGAGAAGTCACTCGGATTAATGTAAATTTGGTAAACATAAATACACCTTGTGTTTAGTGATCTATTTGGCATTTAGAGATATATTTGATTTATTTGGCACTGTAAATAAATTTATTTCTGTGGAGCACAGTAATATATGGGTCTGTAATGTTTAAGGTCAGACTTTGGGTCCACCTACTGATGGTGTGAACTTGAGTAGCTAAACTTCATCATGTTTCAGTCACCTAAGAATTTTTGTGAAGATTGAGTCAATATTTTGACTGGTGTCTTTTCAAATTAGTATAATAATAATAAGAAATACATAATGAAAATAATAATAAAAATACTGATAGTTAACACTTACATACATCCCTGTATTGTTACACAGTTTAATAACACATATATCAATTCATTTAATCCTTACAAAAACCCTATGAGATTAACCTCGTTATTTCTGCTGATAAACACATTGAGGGATTCCTGGGCCTCCACTCTCTCACTTATGTCTGAATACTCCCAAGGTTTGTTTCATGTGTGTTTATAAACCAATATGTCAACTACAGTCACAGTCCGTGTGTTTTGACTTCCTGCTATATTAGTTTGCTACAGCTTCCACAGCAAAATACCACAGAATGGGTGACTTAAACAACATAAATTTATTTTCTCACAGGCATGGAGGCTGGAAGTCTAAGATCCAGGTGTCAGTAGGCTTCATTTATTCTGAGGCCTCTCTCCTTGACATGCAGATGGCTGTCTTCTTGCTGTTTCCCCACATGGTCTTTGTTCTGTGCCTGATGTCTCTTCCATGTGTCTGAATTTCCTCTTATGAAGACACCAGTCCAGTTGGATGAGGGTCTACCCTAAAGGACTTATTTAAATTTAATCACTTCTTTGCAGACCCCCAACTCCAAATATAGTCACAGTCTGAGGTGCTGAGGGTTAGGCTTTCAGCATATGAATTTGGCGGTAGTGGGGGTGGTGGTGGAAGGGAGTGGGGTCAGGAGGCACAGTTCAGTCCATAATACCTGCCATGACTCATTAGCTCCACAATGATGACCTTTGCCTGATAAGCCATTTGAAGATTAATTGGGGTCATTTTTGTTGCCCATCTGGAAAACATTGATGTGTGAAGACTCTTGATGTACTAGATGAGTGTTCCAGGCAGAAACAAGTAGAAGTCTCCTCACTTTTTGTCCAGGGATTTAATCAGTGCAGCCTGTACCTCAGCTGATAGTCCTTTTTTGAAAACAGCGCCTTCAGGTTTTGCCTCAGCCTTCACCACACAGGCCTCTGACTCAAGTCTGCAGAGACACCTGTTTGCTCCTCTCTGTCTCTGAGGGGTCTGCTCACAGTCTTAAACAAAACTACAAACCCTCATGTAATTGCTAATCCTCTCTAATTAATTTGCCAGATATTCCCAGCAACTTTTGGATCTGTTTGTGATGGGAATGACATTTAAAATTAAATGTCAATAAATGCACTTCAGATAAATTATGAGGACCAGAAATTCTGTTACAGTATTCCAGTTGCTTAGGGTTTCTGGATAATAGAGAAACTGATAGCATTTTCATGGCTCCTGTAGCCTTTATAATAAAACACTTTGCCACAGGTGATAGACTCTCCCAAGGATAACTTGGAGACACAAGCTTATAAAATGTTTATAGGTTTCCATATTATAATATCTTCCAGGATTCTAATTATTCCCATTTTTTAAAAGATAAAAACAGAGAAGGGAAGAAGGCTGTGACTCCTCTGACCTCAAGTTCATAGTCCTTAAGCAGCATTTTTTATCCTACTTTTTTTTTTAAATTTGTGGAAATCATAGATCAAAAATAAAAGGGGAAAAATGTGCTTTTTGGAGGATTATGGTGAAGCACAGGTATTCTATAGCAATCATCAGGGACAACAAAAGGAACAAATAAGAATTATGCACAAAATATGTTACACCACGATGCTTTGAAGGCATGCTGTTCTGGAACAGATAGAAAAGGAAACAGAGATAAGATGTTTAATTTCTATCTTTCATGATGCTTACTTGGCATGAATCACAGAATCAGACTCAACCCTGTCTTTCAAAGTCCTTTCAACAATGCAGTTTGGTTATCTTTAGGTTAGTTTTAGGATTTATCTAATTAAATAATATATTACAATTTTATTGATGTGTCTTCTTGTGTTTCCATGGAATAATAAATTTTATATTTAAAAAAATCACCAGCAAAGCAACAAATCATACCTTTGTTCCAATAATGGTTGACTGAAATGAGGAGTAAATATAATCCTCGGCAAACTGTATTTTGTTTTAATAAACTACACATTAAAAAAACTAAATTGCATCATTTGCATCGGCTGTAATACCATTCTAATGTATTGGATAATTGTTTAATTTGTGTGTGTGTATGTGTGTGTGTGTGTGTAGTCAATATAGATAAGGCAAAATTATGTAAGAATACTTAGAAATAGTTTTATTCATAAAGGTGTTGTGAATCATAAAATTTATGGCCTATGTATTAGTCCTGTTTTTTGCATTATTATAATAATAAAAAAATACATAATGAATACTTACTATGGGACAGTCTGTGATTGATTGATCGATTGATTGATTTTTAGTAATTTCTACACCCAACATGGAGCTTGAGCTCATGCCCTTGATATCAAGAGTCTCATGCTCAGGGCACCTGGGTGGCTCAGTTGGTTAAGCGTCCAAATCTTGATTTTGACTCAGGTCATGATCTCATAGTTTGTGAGTTTAAGCCCTGTGTTGGGCTCTGTGCTGATGGTGCAGAGCCTGCTTGGAATTCTCTTTCTCCCTATCAAAATAAATAAATAAACTTAAAATAAAAGAGTCTCCTGCTCCACCAAATGAGCCACCTAGGTGCCCCACCAGTCTGTGATTTTAGGAAGTCCTTGACTTGCACTGTTTCATTTAATATTGAAAACTACCATATACATTAGGTAGTTTTATTACCTTCAGTGACTAAGGGGAATAAAAGAGTAAAAAAAAAAAAACCCTTTGAACAATTGGCAATACTTGAAAGATTTGTTTGTTGTATTTTGTTGTCTACCGAGTATGTAATAAGCATTATGTGAATGTTTGTGGATGAATAAATGGATAGATGTGTGAACAGGAGCTCAAATCCTCTGGGAAAGACGCATAGGACAAAAAGAAGAGCCTGACTCAGAAATTGTGATGGGGCTGGTGAGTGCCTGCCAACTGCCAAGGGGCTTGCTGGTTGTAACCATTCCAACAAATCACCAGGCACATGTACTGGTTTTCTGGCATGTGCTTTTAGGATCTTAGTATGAAGACATTGTTAAAAGTTACCAAATACCTGACTCCTGCCCCAAGACAATACAATCTGCTTCTCTGGGTGGCATAAACAACACTTTCAGAGAATATCAGTGGATGACTTTGGGATAATGAAATGTAGGACTTCAAAGCACAGAAAACATTTTCATTCATAATTTCTTTTTTCCCGTGAACATGTGGTACATGAAAAAAGAAGGAAATATGGGAGGTGAACAGCTGGTTATGCAGATGGTGTTGAATTGAATTTGGATTTCTGTATCACGACTTAAGTTTCTGGAATGCTAGGCTCTTGGCTAAGGGTAGAATTATTTCTCACAGGGACATGGAAGAATGTGTTTGCATGTAGGCTAGCAGTCATGATTAAAGTGTTTTAAATGGAACATAATATTGTAAAAGCGTATGAAGATTCAAAGCAACTTATCATTCACCCAGATTCTCTAGGATTCAGTTGAATAGTCTTCCAGCTTTCTTGTTTGATCCCCATAGCACCTTCCAATTCCTAACTCAGGTTTGTCTTCATAACTTCCTTCTCACTTGGGCCTTTTATTGGCCTTTTCCATGGTCAGCTTGTTGCATATCTCCCCAAATGACTCCTTCCTTTGCTTTTGCCTCCTCCTGTGTTTCCCAGAGATGCTATTTCATGTCTCTGTTACAGCCTGGGATGTTAACTCTTTGCTTACTTGTCTATATCCGTCACAAAGATGTGATTTTCCTGAGTAGGAAATTTTTGTATTATACATCTTTGTATTTTCAGGGTTTAGATGACTGACTCACCTGTTTCAAGGGTTCCATGAATATTTGTTGAATGATAAATGCAAAATTAAATGAAGCAGTAAATATTTTTTAGCTTAGTTGGGAAGAGTGGGCAGTGACCATTGACTGCAAGCTATTTAGAAGAACAAAATGTTACAAGTGGTTCTGGCTAGAGATCACAGAGCTCTCCTGTACAGCAAATTTGAGCTTATCTATGCCTTAAGCTCTTTTCTAATGTAGTAAATGTAGTAAAACCAGATTTTAACATTAGATGATGTTAGTCAAAACAGAGTATTTAAGAATAATTTTTGTGTTTAGAGCTGAATTTTAAAAATTCTTTCACACGTATCACTGAAGTATTAAAACATTAACACTCTAAACACATAGAAGAATGATAAAAATTCAGGCCTATTAAAAATAACTACCTGGGAAAAGGAAAAAAAAAAACACACACACACACAACAAAGTGTGCGAAAGGTATAGATTCTGAAACCACCGGACCTTTTTCAGTTGTACTTGTCATAAGTTATCAAAGAGTTTTTTTTATTTTCCAATACTTGTTAATTTTGTGTTACTCTTTAACAATTGATAGGAGACATGTTTAATTGGGAAAATGTCTATGGAGAACGTTTCCAAGATAAGGGTTGTCAAAGTAAATGAAGAATGAATAACTTGGAAAATGGGCTTACTGTTAGCAGAGAACTTTTTTTAAGTTAGGGGGGTATGGGATGAGAGAGAGAGAGAGAGAAGGAGAATTAGAATTTATCAGTATTACATCTTATTTTAATGATTAAATGGAATGTATTCTCAGAACCACATGGCCTAGGACACAACCCCCGAAAAACTTTCATTGTGAAACACAAGATATAGTTTCTATGAAATAATGAATTACTGATGATACGGACTATCTTATTTCAATCATATTGTCCTAAAATCTATACAAAAAAGTAACACTTGACCAATATTTATAGATTTGAATATAGGCACAATTTTAATATAAATAAAAATGTGGAAAGCACCTCAGGGTTATGATGATGGCAAGCAGTAGTGCCAGATTCACCCTTACCTCCTTTTCATTTGAACAAGTCAAGGAA